GGGATGGGCGGGGCAGGATAGTGTGAATTAAGAATATTAAGTATCGAGTAATCTACTGGTTGAGTAGTCGATGGAATTTCCATTGACTACTCGATGAGTCGATAGGCACTTCCGCATGCCTCCTTTGAAATGTACAAGAGTCCCCATTGGGGCTCTTGTACATTTCAAAGGAGGAATGCGGAACACTGCGTGCAGCCCTGGGCCAGTGTGAAGTCTCACTGACTCCAGGTTGCATGCGGGCATGCCAGCTTTGAAATGTACTAGAGTCCCCAGAGGGAGCTCTTGTGCATTTGAGAGCCACAGCGCCCGCATGGAGCCTGAGGTCAGTGGGGGACTCCCCAGCTGACCTTGGCTTCCACACGGCATTTCCCCAAAACCCGGGATCAGCTGGGGGCTCTGAGCGGTTTGAAATGCTGTGCTGGAACCTGGAATCATCTGGGGAGTCCCCAGCTGATTCTGGGCTCCATGCAGTGCTGCTGCTTTGAAATGCCATGGCGGCGTTTCAAAGAGGCAGCACTGCACGGAGCTCGGTATGGGCTCTGTGTGGCACTGCCGCTTTGAAGTATCCTCTTCTTCCCCCCCTTTGCTGCCTCTCACAGAGGCAGCAAGGCGGGAGGGAATCGACTTGTCGACTAGTCCTTAACGTCATTAGTGTGAATATGAAACCATAGCTCCCTTTCCCTAGCCAATGGAGCCAGATGTGTCTAGCAGGGGGAATAATCTTTCTATGGTGTTGCCACTACAGTGTCGTCATATGCTGCCCAGGCAGAATTCTGGCTGAGGCCTGTGTAAATGAGTCAGTGGTACCAATCCAGTCCATAGTAGCCTGATGACCATATCACATGAACTGCCATTGTAATTAAAAAGCTTCAGAGGAGCAGCCGCGTTAGTCTGTAACTGGAAAAAACTTTAAAAACAACCAATAGTCTAGCAGCACCTACTGTAATTGTTGCTTCTTAGCTATTCTGCCCAGAGTAAAGGACAGCTGTTGCCACTGGAGCTTTGTCTGCACAAGCACAGTTTGTGCCCATTGTCAGCACTGAGGCAGCTACACATGCTTCTGGGCAAGTATTAAAAATGAGACACGAGTGGAGTGGTAGATGCCTGCTGCCCATGCTGTTCTTGTTCACTGGACAGAGGACTTCACTCTCTAGTACTGTCCTATTCAGCATCTTGCATCAGATCTGAATTCACGTTTTAAAAACAAAACACAATAATCATACGCTTGCAAATTAATAGCTAGGAAATCAGAAGCTTCACTGCAGAAGTCCTCAGAAGGGACATGAAAGCAAAATTGCTTTTATTCTTCTCTGGCTGAGATTTTTCTACATATTATTTATTTTGGTGGGATTTGTGTGTATAGGGGAGGAGGAGCGTCTATATTAATGTGCATTGTCTGTAGATGACTGACCCCCATTTTCCATGGATACATGTTGCCATCCCTAATTTGCACACTTGGCAAATTTCAAAAGGGAGAGAGACCTGCAACACACACAAACATAAGAAGATGCAGAGGTGGGGTAATGAAAACAAGGAAGAAAGATGTGTTCATTACAGTCCAGGGAAGGAAATTATTTCACAGCTGTAGTGTGTAAATTGCTGCAACCCTGCCAAAATATTAGGGATCAAGAGCTTATGCAAACTTTGCTTATTTTTTCTGAGAGAGCTTTTCTAACATTTATTTTGATGTATTTCCTCAGCTCAGCCTTGATCTGTTAATGTTATCTGCATGTATTCACTGCAGCTCTCATGTTTATCATTCCTCTTCAGTCAGATCAGTAAGGCTATAGCTGTGTTACCTCAAATTAATACTCCAAAGTGCCTAACATGACCCATTTGAAACAGCTGCTGGATTACAGAGATGAAGACGGATCAGTAAAATTGATAGGGCATTTTGTTTGCAGTTATATAAGTGCCTGCCAGTTACTCAAAGTAGCTAAATAAGCACAATTAGAACTTTGTCAAAAGGCAGGTACAGTGTAAATGTTCGTGAGTGGAAGACAGACATACAAGTAGAGACTGAGCCTCTACTGAGCCTTTTCTTTTAATGAACTCTGACTCTGCCATGCAAGTAATTTTAGAAGCAGTTCCTAGTGTTTAGACATCTCTCCGCCTGAGTGTCCTAACAAATCAGGTAACTAGATGACCAAATGCTGTAATTTTTAGCTGCACTTAATGGCAGCTATAAAATTGCACCCATGGAATTGAAAGTGAAATTGAGATTCCTTTACAAATCTGCTTCATTACATCCATAGAAGAGCTAATGGTTTGTGCTCAAGGTTATGTTCCTTTGACTGTTTTTGGTATCTGAATAATTTTCTTATTGGTAAGACATCCCTGCCCCTTTCAGCCACCAACCCCTAACAAGCAAGAATTAGCTATGCTTGGTAGCTCTAGTAATTTGTAATTCTAGCTCACTAGTAATTTGATGCTGTGGGATTTAAAAACAGAAGCATAGAATTTGCCACACTGAATAAAAAAACCCTGATACATCAAATTCTGTCTCCATTGGTGCCCAGTGTGAGATGCTACCAAGAATGGAAAACATCTCTCCTCTCTCAAATGGGCTTGTCCTTTTGGCACTTAGGTGGCGGGAGCCAAAATAGTGCTCAGATATGTAGAAAGAACTTGAGTTTGCCGGGACTGACCCAGGGAGGGAAGAAGGACTCTTTAAGGCATATCAGAGTAGATTCATTAGATAAAACACAAGCACTTCCACAAGCTAGAAAATTCAGCTGTGCTCTCTGCCCATAACAGTCTGGTAAATTCAGGAGTTAGGTAGTTTATACACTAAAAATTCTATTGCAAGCAGTCTGAGCTTATGTTGCCAGGTGAAAACAACAGACTATTTCTGTTTAATACAGTCAGGGTATGTCTAGACTGCAAGCTAGAGAGCGTCTAGACTGCACGTTGAACTTTTGAAAAAGCGGCTTGCTTTTTCGAAAGAAAGCATCCAGTGAGTCTGGATGCTCTCTTTTGAAGAAGCCCTATTTACATTGAAGAACGCCTTCTTTCGAAAGAGGAACTTTCGAAAGAAGGCGTTCTTCCTCGTGAAATGAGGTTTACCGCCATCGAAAGAAAAGCCGCGTTCTTTCGATTTAATTTCGAAAGAACGCGGCTTGAGTCTGGACGCAGGGGAAGTTTTTTCGGAAAAAGGCTACTTTTCCCGAAAAAAACCCTGAGTCTGGACACAGCCTTAGAGCTGGAGGCGAGTCCCAGCTCACGTAGATATACTACTGCTTGTCAAGCTAACGTGCTAAGAAATATGTAGCTGTCCTAGTGTGAGCCACAGCGTGGCATAGCTGTGCTGAGTATGTATCCACGCAGTTCAGGCAGTGCACTAGCTTGATGAGAGCTAGGATGCGTGTCTGTATCAGCTGGGAATCACACCTTACCTCATAGTGTAGATGTGACCTTTAGATAATTCTCTCTGCACTCTTTTGCCATGCCCTCAAAGCATGGGTATATAGCCCTGTGTAGTAGAGTCTGTTGTCTTTCGGATGCACTTCCCATGCTGTGCCTTCAGCAGTGTGGTTTATCACAGGAGCTATGCAGAAGTGGCAATAAGTACTTTTGCTATTGAAGACAAAAATCTCCAGAGTGCAATTAAAAGAAGGAGTTTTCAAGACAGATTATTTCATTTAATCTAATTTATAAAAAACATAATTTTCCATTGGATCTTTGAAGCTGATGAAACTGATTTTTTTTTAACAACTGAATAAATTAAAAGTACCAATTAGAAGTTTTTAAAGGGAATTCTTCCCAGGGGCTGTTTTTCTTTTTGTTGCAGTAAAAGTGACCATTGTTGGGACATTTGAAAGTTTAATTTGAGCAAACTGCTCTGGCTCTGTGATAAATCAGGCATGCAAAGGAAGAAATCTGTTTTCCTTCATAGCTCAGAAAAGTCTCATTTGTATGTAAATGCTGAATGGTGACTTCCAAGGAAAATAGTCAGTACCTTGTGTGGAGAGACTTATCAGCATGATTCAGCAGCTAATCCCTGCACAACTCACTGAATATTTACCCTGTGTATCCCACTTAATATGTCCAAAACAAGACACACTGTGAAATTCTGAAATCTGCTTAGTGTGGGGTTGTGGTGGGGGGTGAATTTGGTGTACATGAAAGTCAGGAAGTGAGAGCAATGACTTGAGCTCAGTCTAGTGCCATGAAGAGCTCTTCATAGAATCCTAGGATTGGAAGGGACCTGAGCAAGTCATCGAGTCTAACCCCCTGCCCAAAGCAAGACCAACCCCAATTAAATCATCCCAGCCAGGGCTTTGTCAAGCCGGGACTTAAAAACCTCTAGGGATGGAAATTCTACCACCTCCCTAGGGAACCCATCCCAGTATTTCACCACCCTCCTAGTGAAATAGTTTTTCATAATATCTAGCCTAGACCTCTCCCACTGCAACTTGAGACCATTGCTCCTTGTTCTGTCATCTGTCACCACAAAGAACAGCCTCTCTCCATCCAATTTGGAGCTTCCTTTTAGGAAGTTGAAGGCTACTATCAAATCCCTCCTCACTGTTCTCTTCTGCAGACTAAATAAGCCCTTTCCTGCATCCAAACTCCACCCTGCACCCCAGTCCCTGACCTGACACTCCAACTCAGTCCCAGGCCCCACACCTCTTCCATAGAAAAGCGCTGCCTGGGACCACATACCGAAATTCTTGGGGAGGCTTCCCTGCAAAATTATTGCCCACCTCTGCTTCAAACTGTTCCGCTTCTGGGTTCCATACACAGTTGTGTTAATGATCCTTCATGCTAGTCTACTGCAACTCTGCTATTTTGGCCCTGGCTGGATCTATATGCACCTCACTAGTGACTCTCCATCTGTTCCTGGTCTGGACACCACATAGCTTAGCTGATGCCCTTCTTTCCTAGCCTGCTGCAGTGTTGGGCTTATCCAAAGCAGAGTCTGTGTGCGCTGGGGTTGTGACAAGGATGGGGACTAAGTTGAAGGTCTCCCAACTCATCTGTTTGTTTTTACCCCAAAGTCTGTTCTTCCAGTGAGTTCCAGTGCAGTAACAAGACCTGCATCGCCATGATCTTCGTGTGTGACGGCGATAATGACTGTGGCGATGGCAGTGACGAGAGGAAGTGCTCGCCACTCACCTGCAACCCTAACGAGTTCCAGTGCAACAACAGCATGTGCATCCCCGAGCCCTGGGTCTGTGACAACCAGCCCGACTGTGAAGACCAGTCAGACGAATCGATAGAGAAATGTGGCTACAAAGTCAAGCCTCCAGTGCTGAACACCTGTGCGGCCCACGAATTCAGGTGCGGCAATGGGGAGTGCATCCACTTGAACTGGAAGTGCGATGGTGACGAGGACTGCAAAGACAAGTCAGACGAGCAGGATTGCCGTAAGTACCCTTCAGGGGCTAAGCAGGGTGAGGAGATGGGGGGTGTCGGGTGGGTAAAGATTTCCCTGCAGGAGAAAACATTTTCAGGATGCCACTAAAAGCCACGTTTTCAGCCAAGATTGCTAATGACCTGTTTGCTGCAGCAAATTCATGCCTTCAAACTGGGTATTTGTGTCTGCAGACTGTGTATCTAAGGGTCCAATTACCAAAATAACCTGCACGGACAAGTCTGAGTGCAGGAGACTCTGGCTGCAAATAACGGTGCAGTCAGTGCGAAGTCAGAGGCTGATATGAGGCTCAGAGAGTTAAACAGCAGCTCCTGCAGTGAGTTAAATGTAAGCCTCTCTGATAGCGGTGAAGAGGAGAGTGCCAGCTTTCCAGGTGGCAATATCCTTCACAGAGTCGCAAACCCTCTCACAGGCAGGGCGGCTGTACCCTGCCCCTTGTTCAGTGCTAGGCCTGCATGATACAAACTGACCCATAACTTCTTAGCATTTAGGTTGGGGGGGATTAATTATTGTAGAAGAATAATACAGGACTGCAAAGCAGATGAAAAACGTAGGGTGGGGAAGATTCATAAATTCCAAGACTGCAAAGGACATTGTGATTGTCTAGTCTCTCCTCCTGGGGTTGTGTAGTAATTTTTGCTCTCAGAAAGGGGTTGCGGAGCAATGAAGTTTGAGAATCTCTGCTCTAGCTTCAACTTCCAGTAATTAGATTGTGTGATACCTTTTCCTGCTAGGCTGAAGAGCCCATTATCATATATTTATGTGACATGTAGGCACCTATAGACTGTGATCAATTTACCCCTTGCCCAACCTCTTTGGTTGTGGAGTGGTTTGTGGAGGAGTAGCAAGTGACTGAAGATATCTGTTTCAGTTGGAAATCAGAGCTAGCGAGTGGGAACAGGTTTGAAAACCACTAGATCACCTCAGGAGGTCACAGGTTAAAAACATCTATGTTAAAGCAAAAAAACAATTTTCTGCCTGTGAATCCAGACTACATTGAACAAGACAATCAATAAAGGGATCTCTGAAGAAGCCAGCTCTAAATGCACTTTGTGCTCTAAAATGTAAGCCTTTTTGGTAGAAGAGTGTGGCTTGTTAAAGACACACAGAGCTAATAAATAATAGATTTATTTTCAGTTAGCTTTGTGTATTTTACATATTTTGCTGTGAATTTTTTATCCATTTGCAGACACTAAAATGTTCAAACTGGTCACTTACCTAGAGAGACCAAGAGGGAAATGGAGCAAACGTTTAGTTGAAATATTCATAATGACAATTCTGAGATGAAATGAAATGTATATGCAGCTACCTGCGTACATACAGCCCTGCTGAAAGGTGGGCAGCTCTGGGGAGAAGGGCCACAGCCAACGGTGAGGACTGAACGTTTTAGTTAAGGAGCAATAGTGTTATTATCCAAAAAGACATTGCACCCAGCATGGCAGAAAAATTCAGCCTGTGAAGCTAGTAGGACAGTCCCAGCTTGAAAAGAGTCTGTACGAGAAGGCAGCTAGGTTTTCTGTTAAGCAGAGCAAATGCGGTAGCTCCTTTAACAGGAAAAGAAGGAAGTGGAAGCCCCGGGCACCACTAGCTGTATTTCTGGATGGGAGGGGGAAATGCAGAATCACCTCTGAGCTGCTCTTCAGAGTAAGGAGAGGAGAACAAGGCGTGGGTGGCCGGGGCAGGAGAAAGAGCTGGTGTACAGAAAATCAAAGGGAGTGTGGGCAGCAACAAAATAGCCGTTCGAGATGGGCTCAGGAATATCTACTCCTAGCACTGCACAGTGCAGATTTTGCAGAAATTAATGTTGTGTGTGCAGAATTTCTTTGCCCCTGCCCGTGGGTTACAATGCTGCCAGCCGCCACTAGGGGCCATTGGCACAACAGAGCCCAGCTCACACCTAGAAGACAGGGAGAGAGAGTTTGAGGGCTCCGGGCAGTTTCAGCTCTCAGCATGCCCTGAGGGAAGGAGCGCCTGTGCAGGAAACTCTGCATCCTGGGACCGAACATCAGGCTGTTTCTCCCTCTGCATCCCTGGGTTCTGGGAGGGGAGGATGGCAGGTGGCTAGGCTCTGGGAGACAGGAGGGGCGGGTATCTGGGCCATTGCGGGGCTCTGGAGAGAGAGGGGTTGTGGGTGTTTGACTCTTTTGTCTGGGCTCTTGGGAGGGGGAAGGATGTAGAGAAACAAGAACTGGGTTTTTGCAGGGTTTTTTAATCTCCCAGCCCCTGGAGGAATGTGTGTGCGTGTCTGTACTGCTTAGGGATGTGGACAACTAGTCAACAATTTAACAAATAAGCATTTGCTTATCAGGTAGTTGACACACTACTCGACTAGTCTATCAGAAAGAGGCAGGAAGAGGGAGGAGAGAGGAGAGGTTGCTTCAAAGCGGCAGCGCCACATGGAGCTGCTGCTTTGAAATGCCACATGCAGCACAGGGTCAGCTGAGAACTCCCCAACTGACCCTGGGCTCCGTGCAGTGCTGCTCCATGTGGGCCCCCTGCGGTATTTCAAAGTGGCAGCACCGCATGGGACTGGGGCTGATGCGTCAGTTTAAAGGCAGAGGTGCCCTTATCGACTAATCTAATAGTCGATGCAAAATGCTCACATTCCTGAAGGGTGTATGAGCACTTGAAAGAACAGTGAGTTTCCAGAATAAAAACTTTTGAGAAGCCTAGTTGGCCATTTGAGTATATGCTATTTACTGAATTCACTTTCACCAAGGACATTTTGACCTGTCACTGTACAAAGAAAGCATGACCTGGGGTAGGTCAGAAAGGTCTGTCACACCCCACAAACTGTCCTAGTGTATGTGGTAGCTGTGTTGCTGTCGCTTCGATTTTTAAAGCAAGTGCTTTTCTTTTTACTCCCAGGTAATTATTCCTCAGTATTTTCAGCAACACTGATACCCAGGGGCAGGTTACAGTATCTCAGGTATAAACTCCCCGTTGGTTAAGTGGGATTTTCTTAGTGTACATTTGATTCTGATACCCTCTGTGCACAATTATTATTTGTAGCACGTAGGAGCTCTAGTCATGGACTAGGACCCCAGTGTGCGAGGTGATGTACAGACACCGAACAAAATGACAGACTGTGCCTCAAAGAACTTACAGTTTAAGTAAGTGAACTGAGAACCTTAAAGTACATTTGCTGGACTGGCATTGGCTTCTGAAGTTGGATTATTTACAGACAAGCTTCAATCCAGTATAGGTAAAATGGAGCTCCCTTCCCTCTTTTTCCACATAAAAGGGGCCTAGTTGAAGCAAATGAAGTCCTGCTACTGTAAAACCAGCGTGAATAACAGTATAATTGATCCTGTATGTAGCGGGAGAGGGGACCTTTAATGCGGAGGAGAGAGGATATGTGGCTCTTTGTTTTTAATTGATTATTCCTAGACTAACCATAAAAACCCAAATAGTGACAGTAGATGGTGTATGTTCCAAAGCACACATCTAAAATAGGACAGACCATCTATTATACAGCTTTAAAAGTGACATTGGAGAACTAAACTGTTTGGTGATACCCTTCTGAACAAACAATTCCGGGGAAATAAATCAGATACTCAGCTACTGTAAATCACTTCAGGGGAGCTAACCTGATTTATCACCTATTGGGGATCTGGCCCAGACAACTGAGGTCTTCTCTAAACTTTCTAAGTCCTTTTTTAATTAAAGACAGAGGAAGTTATAAATACATGATGTGGCACCCATCGCCTGGTGTTCTGATATACAGTAGGTATTTTAAAAATACCATAGATTTATCTGATTAGATTAAGTTAAGGACTGAAGATATTAATGTTACATCTTTTCCTCACATGCAGCTAATGGGTTTTTTTGTATTATACGTATTAGTAGGGCATTGACAACTTACAAAAAAAACTGTCTTGAGGCCAGCATCAGTCACTTATTGTCATGTTCATTTTGAATGAATGGAAGAGTAGGTTACTCATTGAGGGTGACAACTAGTGAAAATGTTTTGGTAGAAGGAGATAAATAAAATAGAATGGAAATAGAAACTTGTCTGTGACAGGTGCTTGTTCCTGAATACATATACCTGAAATGTATTTTTCTAATATTAACTATAGTTTAGATGTATCATCCTCACGATCCAGACCTGTTTATCTTAAATGTTCTCCTTTAAAATTCAGGTTGTACACACAGAAAGGAAGTACTGGACAGTGCTTAGAATCAGGGCTCTTGAGAGCTAATCCTGACACTGCAACAGTTTTTTGTGTTGCTTCCAACTTTCCAGGTCTCAGTCCCCCCCATCCATAAAATAGGGTTTATCTTGAGGCTTAGTTAATGTCTGAAAAGTGCTTTAAGAAGCACATGAAAATTGCCATAAAACTGTAAAGCGACTTATTTTTAAAAGGTAATAAATGCCTCAGATGGAAATTGTTTGGTGCAAACGCCTCTGTGCGTCACTCGGGTAATTGGCAAGATGAATACCAGCTTTGAGTCTGGAATGTGCATGTTTAATTTGAGCTGCTTGTCTTTTTGTCCAGAATTTGCAAATGTAAAGCGTAGTTGTGTTATGTGTAGCAGTTAATTTAACAGGTTCTTGCTTTGTTTCTATTTTGTGGAACTGAAGAGGAGCAATAAAAGTGCTGAGATTCCCATTGATTTAACCCTCCAAAATATCACCCCACTTTTCTGAACAGCTGGTGCGTATAAACAAAGCTCTGCATGTTGAGAAGCTCTGCAAAAACACAGCCCCCCTCTCTAACACGGGGTTTCCTGTTGTAGTGGGAATGCCTCTGTTGTATTCATGCAGCCAGTCCCAATTTCTTTATAAAAAGGCACCTGGCCATTCTTCCACCACCTCGCAAACCCCTAGCAAACTCCCTACCAGAATAGCCTTTGCTACGTCATTGCAGATGTAATACTGTTGTGGTTATATGAACTTTGTAAAGTTACATTTTTTAAATAGCTCCCTTTGTTACACTTTTGGTGATTAAAAGTGGAAGAATTTTTTAAAAAATGAAATGTTCTTGTCAC